TGTAGTCTAGTAAATAATGGCATATGTCTATTGTTGTCACAGGGTCCAAAAGAAAGTGAGTTCTTCATGTGTATATTATAGATGTAAAACCAAGAAAGTCCAACACGTGCTGACAAACACATTTTTTTAAAACTGTCTCTCTGGTGATGTCATTCTTTCAAGGTACCATATGTTTGAATCTGCTATTCAAAATGTTGTCTGACATTTTTCAGGATTAAATAAAAAAAATTCCATGAGTCTAAAATATAGATTTTTGCAATTTTCCTTACGAGAGATATTATGTGCTATTTTCTTTGATAGGTATAATGCTTGTTTTATGAGAAGTGGAAGTATAGAACAGGGAGATGTGTGTTGGTGTGTTTGTCTGTGTTGTAATTCACACAAGAAAGATAACTCCCATTTTATTTATGTATTTATTAACTAGCTGTATTCTGAAATATATTTTCTGTTATTCCAGTTGTTATAAATTTTATATTACCATTAGAAGAAGAGTAATAAAGATATAAAAATTATCTTTGTGTTTGTTTGGTGTGATAACAGGTAATCTGGGAACATTTGGTCGTGGTTTCTATCATCCATTTGTTAAATACCGTATATATCCTTCAATAGGCCCATGTCTGGTAATAAGCCCACCATATTGTTTTAGTTTTAAAGAAATTTTAAGCTTGTAGCTGTTCAGTTATGAGGTTATACTGTAATAACCCCTCTCTTATTGTGTTTCCGATCTGTTACGAGAGTATTCAGTAATAAAACCGGTTCAACACTTGGAGACAGAGATAAATAAGATACAGTACATCAATTTATGTATAAGGTTGAAATTATTTGTTTAATTTACAGAACTTTGTAAAGTCTTCTATGATCAATTGGAAAATAAGTTTTTTTTGTGTAATTCTATTTTTAATGTTTACGAACGAGAAGATTTCCGAAAATTTCTATCTTTATCCCAACACCGAGTTTATTTGAAAGATTTATTTTTCTTTACTAAATTACATAATTTTTATACCTCATTTGATGATCAACGATGCAGAGACTGACATCCATTTGAATGAATGAAGTTCATTTCTTTGATAATTTTGAAAAACAGCGTTAGTTAATTTTGATAGATCTTCTGATTGATTCAATGGGAATTTGAAGAATTCTAGCAAAGGGAGATAATTCTAGAACCATCCTAAAACATTTCATTGTATTGATTGAATGAAACATACATTTTTTTGTAGACTGTTTGTGTGTGAAGGTAATTATTAATGTCAAAATATTTATTTTTTATGCTATTTTTGGAATTGTGATGTGATTAAGATTTTTTTTGTGAGCTAGTATTCGTGTTATGTAGTGTTGATGCAGAACAAAACTGTTATTATGAATAATAAAAAATAATTTGCTTTATCATTTTGGAATCTGAAACCTGTTTGATCCTAAACTACAGATTTTATGTCATCATATCCTATAGATTCCCAAAGTAATTAAACAAGGTTACGCCCCCGGCACACCTCCATCTCACTACTGCAACAGAATGACTCAGTGTAAATGTTTCCTGTTGTTTTAAAATGCTAAAGAAAAATTCTCTGTTCTCCACATATAATAAGCATAATGAATGGGATAGAAAATCAAAATTCAATGCATGGAAATGGTGCAATAAAGGCTCTGGACTTTCCAAGTTAGATTTATAATTATTTTACAGATTGTGAAGTTTTTGTGATAATACGGTATGAATTACCTTGATTAAAATGAGCATGTATATTTGATCTGATTATGCATTCCAACATTTTCTTATTTGTATTTGTCATGCACTTGTTTACTTTGTATATGTATTAGAATACTAGTTTACAAATTAACTTTGAGTCCAGGAACTTAGCACGGTCATATTGTTAATAGTTGTATTAATTTTACTACATTTTTTTTTTTCTTGCCCAGACCTAATAAGGTAAAAGATTTTTATTTACTGCCTTTTAATTGCTTTTATGTTTTTTTGTGGTCGATCAGGGTGTTGATTTCTCTATAACAATCGGCTGTTTTAAAGATAACAAACATCCAACATTGAAAAAGACATGAACTTCATGGCTTCAATGTAATAAAAGAAAATAATACCCCTATGCAATTGTGACATCCATCCCCAATTGCTGTGAATTTTGGATATCTTTTAACGAGGATCATATCTCCGCTAGACTCTCTGACCTCAGCTTGGAGTTTAATTGGTCATAAATTTTGAAAAAAATAGTAAGGGTTTTAAAATCTGTAAAAAAAATAATATTACTCACTCATGTGAGCCTTCAGAGTTATTTTGTGGTTTTTTGGGTGGAGTGTGGTCTTCTTGTAAAAGGTTAGATACATGCTACCCAAAAACATTTGTGGTAAAGCGTCCAAAAACAGGACAACAATAGGACAGCAAATCTGTATTTACCTCTTACATGATAAAAACCACCACAGGTTGGGTAGTGGAAACATATACCTTAGATACTGGCTTAATGTAACCATGGAAACGTGATGCTCTAGCTGCTGATCAGGTTATCACAGTCTCCTGTTAGGTCAAATGGGGGATGAAAATATGGGGGATACTAGAACGAAAATGGTGATGCTCTAGCTGCTGATCAGGTTATCACAGTCTCCTGTTAGGTCAAATGGGGGATGAAAATACGAAAGATACTCAAACAAAAATGGTGATAAAACAATTCAATGATAAAAAAACGATCAATATAAGGACTGATGTTATTTTAACATTCTGACTGTAATGTTGGAATACACATGGTGTGTTCTTTTGTTTTTGTTTTTTTAGATATTTAAATAAGCTAATTGCTATTTTGTGTGTCACGGTTTATTTTGACATTCCTTTTGTGTTTTGGTGTATGGAAGGTTTACTGATTCCTGTTTTTGCTTGGTTTGGAAATGTTTATTGTTACAGCATGGTATTTATTTTGATGTAGATTTAGTCCATTGTTTGGGTTGTACAATATCTGATCAGAAATACTTACATAACTGTATATACATGGATGACATACTGTGGTTTTGTTATTGTACTGGACGTGTATGTATGTATTCATTTGTATTCAGATTGAACTTGTTAATATCTGTTGTAAAAATTTTATCTGCAGAGATGTGAACAAAAAATATTAAGTTTGCTAGATTTATATAATAATGTTCTGTTTCCTATTTAAATGCACGCTTTTTACTTTTTGTTTTAACATCTTTTAAAATTTGTTTTATCCTCTTTTATCTATTTTGCTGTAAATTACCCATCATGCATTGTTCTTCTTTTTATACTGTAATTGATTTGGTGAAAATTAGTTTGTATGATATGTGTTGTTTTTAAGCATGACTTTGTATTTGTTTTGGTGTGATAATTACAGCTTGTGATTCACCTACCTAAGCCTACAGTATTTAACCTGTTGTATTGTTCAAGGGATATCACATGACCTCAGACTGAATGACAGGGTGGACTTATGAAAGACAAATAAGTCCAGAGGGTATTATATCACCTCAGACTGAATGAGAGTGGACTTAATACAGAAAATAAGCCCAGAGGGTGTCATATCACCTCAGACTGAATGAGAGGGTGGACTTATGAAAGACAAATAAGCCCAGAGGGTATTATATCACCTCAGACTGAATGAGAGTGGACTTATTACAGAAAAATAAGCCCAGAGGGTATTATATCACCTCAGACTGAATGAGAGGGTGGACTTATTACAGAAAAATAAGTCCAGAGGGTATCATATCACCTCAGACTGAATGAGAGGGTGGACTTATTACAGAAAAATAAGCCCAGAGGGTATTATATCACCTCAGACTGAATGAGAGGGTGGACTTATTACAGAAAAATAAGCCCAGAGAGTATCATATCACCTCAGACTGAATGAGAGGGTGGACTTATTACAGAAAAATAAGCCCAGAGGGTATTATATCACCTCAGACTGAATGAGAGTGGACTTATTACAGAAAAATAAGCCCAGAGGGTATTATATCACCTCAGACTGAATGAGAGTGGACTTAATACAGAAAATAAGCCCAGAGGGTGTCATATCACCTCAGACTGAATGAGAGGGTGGACTTATTACAGAAAAATAAGCCCAGAGAGTATCATATCACCTCAGACTGAATGAGAAGGTGGACTTATTACAGAAAAATAAGCCCAGAGGGTATTATATCACCTCAGACTGAATGAGAGTGGACTTAATACAGAAAATAAGCCCAGAGGGTGTCATATCACCTCAGACTGAATGAGAGTGTAGAGTTATTACAGAAAAATAAGTGCAGTGAACAACATAATACCTCTGACTCGAGGGGGAGGGGTGACTTAAAGTTGATGGGAGAGGTACTCAAAGTCGGGGGAGGGGTGTTCTTAATTATTACAGGACAATGAAAAAAAGTACTGTGCCATGGAACATCGACAAAGAAAGCAGGTTTATTACAGAGTATATATATTCCTTCTCCATTACTCCATTTGTCTTGTAAATTCACATATGACTCATTGTGTTAAAAAATTTGTAATTAGTGGTTCTTTGTGACGATCAACAGGACATATCAACAAGAAAAAACAAAATCTTGAACCAATAAGATTTACAACATTGTTATATTTTCCTGGCATCATGAAGTTTTTATTTATGTTTTCAGTATCAATAATTATCCTACTTTTATTTCAGTTTTTAGACCTTATGTTTTGTAGGTCATTTAGTTTTGGTTCATAGGAATGGCTTGTGCAAATTTTGGTGTAGGAAAAATTCAGGAGCTTGAAGTTTAATAATGAGTATCACTAAAGCTTATGTTAAAGTGAAACACTCTATCTTTAGCACCAATTTACAATCTAACTATGATTTTGAAAGTGAAAAAAACACGATCATCAGTTTTATCTCATATCAAATTAGAGATAGATGCATGCAATCTTTTGAAAATCAAATTTTTTAAAAAACTACCAGAAATGACAATTTTGTTTGAATTGAACTGTTTGATTTAACCTGCCTGTGTTTTCAGTTTATTTACCCAATATTTTTGTTTGATTTCCAATTTAGGTAGTCCCCATTTGAACACCACGTTTTGTTCCGTTATGAACAGCATGAAGTTCTTGCATGCTCTACAGTCTCCCAGTCACGTACCATCTAACTATGATATTGAAAACGAGGGTGTTCACAGTATTTTGAATCCAGAAAATCGTGACTGGCTGGCCAGTCAGGGATATTATTACTCTAAAAGTGGGACACCTACTTCGACACCAAAGCCTGCAACTACCTCTGTTCATAAACTTGCAAAGTCCTGGTCGATGGATGCCACAGAACGACGAAAAGCATTTGGGAAAACACGAAGATCACAACATAGGTCCTTGTCTGATTTGAAAGAGGAAGTTGATGAGTTGACCTCACCAAAGGTAGAAAATCGGACAGGGGCACAAAGTTTTGACAGTTTGGGAAATTACACGAGTGTTGAAACCTCTACCGATTCCTTTGATAGTGTAGACTCCATGCATCTTGGTCATGGACGGACGAATGTGTTGGGACGCGGTGTTGGCAATAATGTTCGTCGTAGTTCTGGCATTATACTACCAGTTCCCTTACCAATGGCTAATGAAAATATAATTACCAACATCCGCAAACAGGAAGTGGAAATGATGGCATCATTTCCGGATGCTGATGGTGAATATTTTGTGTCCCCATCGCTTTCTACTCAGTCTAGTCTAGAACATACATTAACCTCAAAACATTTACACAAATTATCAACCAAGTCCTCTACCTGCACACTATTAGGTGAAACTGACACTGAACCGATCAATGATGGCGTTATATCTGAAATGACCAATCCTGACAGCGATAACACATTTATAGACGACGATTTTCAGAAACACACGGAAAATTCAGATCTTAATGGAGCAAAATCTAAAAGCCTGGAGGTGGCAAATTCAGATTCTAGTCCTACAAATTCTAAAGATTTGGATATGACAGATTCAGATGTAAATCGTGTGAAGAAGGAAAACATAGACACAGAGAATTCAGATAGTGGTCAGGAAAAGACTAAATATCTAAACATGGATGCTGTCAAAGATGTGTTAACTGTGTATTTTACTTCAAGTTCTTTAAAAAAGAAAGTGAACGAAGGTACAGGTGAAGAGCTGGAGCAGGTGTTTGTATGTGATAGAGGACAGCAGACAGACAAGCTTACAGAAAACAGGACACTTAACATAAAGGTAGGTTACATAAATGTAATATGTTTGTGAAGGAAATAGCTTCCAGATGGAAGACTAAGTAATACAGCTATTATATCGCGCACATGATATCAATATCCTCCATAATTGTATGAAGAATATCTGTATTTCCTATGTCTTTATATAGGATCTCTGTATGTCTCCTTCTTGTGTAGAGAATGTCTTTATCTCACATAGCGGTGTGTAGGATATCTTAATCTCCCATACCTGTGTGTAGAATATCTTTATCTCACATACCTGTGTTTAGGATATCTTTATCTTCCATACCTGTGTGTAGAATATCTTTATCTCTATTACCTGTGTGTAGAATATCTTTATCTCCCGTACCTGTGTGTAGAATATTGTTATCTCTCGTACCTGTGTGTATAATATCTTTATCTGTAGGATTTGTTTTCTTCCAAACTCGTGTAGGATATCAATAATTTTTAATCACTTTTTTTCCCTTTCTTTGACATAATTTGTTTCCTTCACACTCTTGACTGTCATGTAAATATTCTGTCTGATCAGAATGCGTAATTTGTTGTTTATCCTTGATGTGTATTAACAGATACTGATCTCTATGTAAGGCAAAACTATAAGGGCACAACAGCATGAAACAAATATGAATAATTCCTACATATAATCTGTATGGTTTACCTACATCACAAAGATATGTTGATTCATCATTACCTGTGATTATTTATGGTTACGCTACAACAATCACTGTTTTCAGGCTGTTGATGGAAAGGCTTGTGATACCATTGATAGAACGGACTCCAAAGTTAACTTAGGTACGTATCAGAGTCAAGATATAAATATTTATTAAATATCGCTGGTTTGAAACAGTAAACATTAGCTCCGTAGAGCTTTTCATGTGGGAAATGAGTCAAATGAGTCAACATCTGTTGGATATGATATAAGTATACCTGTAACCCTGGTAGATATTAGCCGGTTTATACTGCACGGCCAGTGAGAACTTTTCTTGAGCTCTATCGGTTGAATGTCTGACTAGTAAACCAGTGGTTACGGGATGGAATCTCAGTGGAAGCATACCATATGGTGTTTGTTACGATCAAACAAGTAAGGGTAGGTATGATACTCCTGTACTGCTGTTCAAATCTTGTGTTAAGATTTTTCTTTAAATAAATTTTGTATCGCACTAAGTTTTAACATATTCTTCTTTTGTCTGTAACTTTGAAATTGCACATTTTGACCTTTGACCTTTTTAGAATGTTTCATAAGAAACTTGCTTGTTCCCCCTTTTTTATTTACTTTGATTTGACCTTCACTCCAACAAAACATTAGAATTTTGTCCTTGGTGACCTTTCCTAATTTTGCAGATTTCTACTTTGTCTAGTATTTACCAGTTACCTTGACTTCACCTTCAGTATATTTAGCCTAAAAATTGACCTGAATTTTATTACAGATAAGATACATTTTATTAAAGTGTCACACTTTTTAAAAATACATTAAGGTCATCAATCAGATTTATATCTAGTTATGAAGATGTCTAGCCTTAATTGGACTTATGAGAAACTAAATGTTACATTGGCTGGACTGTCACACTTCCTGCAGATTACCAAATGCCTGTACTACCTCTCTCATGTCACCCTGGCTTGATCTGTATTTAGAAATGACCAAACATACCTCTCTGTTGTAACCTTGGTTTGATATTTAAAAATATTAAACATTCAAAAATGTGTCTGTTTTTGTGACCTTGATGTTAGATAAAATTCAGAATTCCCAGTTAGAAAAACAAGATGGTAAATATGAAATAATAAAAAAAACCTGTTGTTTATGCCTCAGGGTTATTTTTTACCTGGGTTCAGATTTATATCTCTAATTTGGACATGATATTTTTGTGTTGTAATGATACTGGAGAATTTTGACAAGTCTGACAGTTGACTATTGATAGCCTGATAGATCTGCCTGATTTTATCACACACATGTGTCACTACATACTTAACACATGTTTTAAATTGTATTACTTAAAAGACTAGAACATGACATTAAAGAAAATGCCGAAGTTCTCTCACAACCATGTTATTGTCCTGATCACTGTTTGTAAAAGAATATATAAATATCAATTTAAACATACTGAATTGTGATACAAAACATACACACAAAACATACTAAATTGTGACACAAAACATACACACAAAACATACTGAATTGTGACACAAAACATACTAAATTGTGACACAAGACATACTGAATTGTGATACAAAACATACTAAATTGTGACATACTAAATTGTGACACAAGACATACTAAATTGTGACACAAGACATACTGAATTGTGATACAAAACATACTAAATTGTGACACAAAACATACTAAATTGTGACACAAAACATACTAAATTGTGATACAAAACATACTAAATTGTCACACAAAACATAGACACAAAACACACTAAATTGTGACACAAAACATACACACAAAACATACTAAATTGTGACACAAAACATAGACACAAAACACACTAAATTGTGACACAAAACATACACACAAAACATACTAAATTGTGACAACTAACTTGAGACACAAAACATACTAAATTGTGACACAAAACATACACACAAAACATACTAAATTGTGATACAAAACATACTAAATTGTGACACAAAACATACTAAATTGTGACACAAAACATACTAAATTGTGACAACTAAATTGTGACACAAAACATACTAAATTGTGACAACTAAATTGTGACACAAAACATACTGATAATAAATAGTATTCTTTGCTCCTTTTCCTCAGTGCCTTAAAACTTTTACATTAATATATCTAGATTGAAAGGAAATATCTAGATATCACCATTTTTAAATAAATATTTTTGAACTACAATATTCTCTATAATATTTTGATATTAATTTTTTATTCTTTTTGGCTAATATAACAGTTAGCTGTGCACAATTATTGAAAGTGAAATTTTTTAATTTTCTAGGACAAAGTGAAAAAAATCATGGCTTACCTACATTGTTGTGCTTAATTACATCAGTCTTGATGGGATAATTTGAAGGAAGGGTCACTATGGCTTGGACCAGTGAACTTGTTAGGAGAATAAGTATAATTAGAAGGCAGGTGGCTTGGCATTGTCCCACCCCTGTGGGCTTGTGTTGACAGTTGTATGTTGTTGTAATACTCAAAAGACACTTTCTAGGAATGTGTGTAGCCCCCTAATGCTTTAAATAAATACACCTGGTTTACATTGTCAGGGGTGGACAGTGGCTACTTTTGTTAGATTTTGTTGATTACATTGAGTCACAATAATTTGTCATTCACAAAAAAAAAATACATGAATTGTTAATAGGTGTTCGGAAATTCTATTGGTAAATCAGGTTTACATTTAATGAGTTGAATGTCAAAGAGATTTTCTTACCTAACTGTTTGTGTGAGTGATAAGAAGCTATGTTGTCATAGAAATTGAATTACCTAACAACACATTAGGTCTAGTGGTAGGAGGCGTGTACAGCCTTATAATGAGACGGTGAAAATCTAGACCCTTTATAGTGTAATCAGGGGCAGAGGGCACCAGATGGTTCAGGCTGATGTTAGGAAATACTGAAGGAGATTTATGAAAAAAATATCAGCCATTTCTAAGCTTCAATATAAATTCTGGATTTTAACAAAATCAAACCACAAGGAAACTATATCCACTGCTAGGATGGGACAGGCAAACGGTCAGTATCAATTAGTATTCAGTGTAATTAAGTACATATAATCTATTCAATAGAAATTGAGGAGAAATGGAAGTTGGACATTTACATATTAAGATTATATTGAATTAGTAGTTTTGATAAATGCTATACATAAAAATTCTGCAAATTTTCAGCAATACCTTCAATATTGACATCATTGTTTGAGTTATTTATTGCTGTATTTTTACCGGATTTTTTTCAAAAGTTACATACAGCTGGTGATAATGAATGAGACAAAAAATAATCAATTTGTTGAAAGATTTAAATAATTTCATAAATGATTTGGTTAAAAATTTGAAATAACCACATAAATCAGTATAAAAAGTTGAAATAATTTTCATAATTGTAAAAGGGAATTTAATGAAAATTCAAAATGATTTGATGAATAGATTTATTAAAACTTGAAATAATATGTAATATGTATGAAAAATTGAAATAACACATAAGTTAATTCATTAAAAATTTAAGATAACACAAAAAACAAATTTATGAAAAATTTGAGATAACACAGAAGTAAATTTACTAAAAATTTTAAATAATTACAGAAATAGATTAATGTTAAATTTGAAAAAAACCATCTAAATCTAAGTCTGGCATACTTGTACTTAAATATAAATAAATGTCAGTTCTACTCTTGTTAATTGGTTAATTACTACTCAGGGTTAACATTTCAAAACTCATAAGTTGAAGTCGGTCATCAAGGTAAGTAATTCTTAGCTTACTATGTGGTCTGTCAGTAGCAATATGGTACAAAGTAGTCAGGATCAATTACAGCAGGACAGAGATGTTTATCCTCAGAGTATATATACAGACATCAATCTGTAGGAATATATTGATTAAGTTGGTATGTATGGTATGTATTATAGGTCAGAAACTGCTTCTGTTATCAAACATATGGATAACTGTGTTTACTTACATTACCTGAGGATACCTTTCTCTTTATAATGACAGGATTGGTTCAAAGCTGATGATTTGATTGTAGGATCTTAAGACTGGAAATTTACTTGTAAGATCTCTAGGCTGGAAATTTAATTGTAAGATCTCTAGGCTGGAGATATAAAATTTAATTGTAAGATCTCTAGGCTGGAAATTTAATTGTAGGATCTCTAGGCTGGAGATTTAATTGTAAGATCTCTAGGCTGGAGATAGGTAATTGTAGGAATTCTAAGCAGATGTTTTCTTTAGGTGCTTTGAAATTTAATTAGGGATTTTTAAACTGTTGAAATTTAATTAATAGGATTTATAGGCAAGTGGAAATTTAATTGTAAGATCTCTAGACATGGAATTTTAATGTAAGGAGGTGGAAATTTAATTTGTTTTCATATGAAATTTTTGTAGTCTAGAGCTGGAAATTTAATTGAAGATCTCTAGGCTGGAAATTTAATTCAAGATCTCTAGGATTGAAATTTTTGTAAGATCTCTAGGCTGGAAATTTAATTGTAAGATTCTGGCTGGAAATTTAAGAGGACTTCTAGGCTGGAATTTACTTCACAGGACTTCTGGATTGCAGTTTTCTTAAGAGGACTTCTAGGCTGGAATTTACTTCACAGGACTTCTGGATTGCAGTTTTCTTAAGAGGACTTCTAGGCTGGAATTTACTTCACAGGACTTCTGGATTGCAGTTTTCTTTGAGGATTCTAGGCTGGAAATTTACTTCACAGGACTTCTAGGCTGGAAATTTAATTGTAAGATCTCTAGGCTGGAAATTTAATTGTAAGATCTCTAGGCTGGAAATTTAATTGTAAGATCTCTAGGCTGGAAATTTAATTGTAAGATCTCTAGGCTGGAAATTTAATTCACAGGACTTCTGGATTGCATATTTCTTGAGGACTTCTAGGCTGGAGATTTACTTCACAGGACTTCTGGATTGCAGTTTTCTTAAGAGGACTTCTAGGCTGGAATTTACTTCACAGGACTTCTGGATTGCAGTTTTGTAATTGTAGGATCTCTAGGCTGCAGATTTAATTATAGGAATTCTGGATTGCAGTTTTGTAATGTAGGACTTCTAGGCTGGAATTTTAATTCACAGGATTCTGGATTGCAGTTTTGTAATTGTAGGATCTCTAGGCTGAAGATTTAATTATAGGATCTCTAGGCTGGAGATTTGTAATGGTAGGATCTCTAGGCTGGAGATTTGTAATTGTAGGATCTCTAGGCTGGAGATTTAATTGTAGGAGTTCTAGGCTGGAAATTTGTAATTGTAGGATCTCTAGGCTGGAGATTTGTAATTGTAGGATCTCTAGGCTGGAGATTTAATTGTAGGAGTTCTGGATTGCAGTTTTGTAATGGAGGATTCTAGGCTGGAATTTGTAATTATAGGATTCTGGATTGCAGATTTGTAAGAGGATTCTAGGCTGGAATTTAATTCACAGGATCTTCTGGATTGCAGATAGGTAATTGTAGGATCTCTAGGCTGGAGATAGGTAATTGTAGGAATTCTAAGCAGATGTTTTCTTTAGGTGCTTTGTAGTTTAATTAGGGATTTTTAAACTGTTGTTTTCTTAATAGGATTTATAGGCAAGTGGTTTCTTTAGATGATTTCAAGACATCATTTTAATGAGGAGGTTTAATTTTGAATTTGTTTTCATATGAAGATTTGTAGTCTAGAGCTATTTTAAGAGGACTTCTAGGCTGGAATTTACTTCACAGGACTTCTGGATTGCAGTTTTCTTAAGAGGACTTCTTGATAGGATCTTTATGTTATTATGTTTGTTTGTTCTTGGTATTTCAGTTTAAAGGTTGTGGGGGGCTGTTTTTCAAGTTCTATGATTTCTAAGCTGATCTTTTCATAATAGCATGTTTTAATCAAAGGTTATTAATGAAAAGACTTTTATATTTGGGTTTCAGTTATATATTCTGTATATATATTATAGGATTTCTGTACAGTGTCCAGGACTTTGAGTCAGAATGATGAGTTAATTATTGTATTTCTAGAATCACACTTTTGATTGCTCTGCGCTTTAGCGACAAAGAATGTATATACGTCAGATGAGGTACATACTATGATATACGTCATTGTGACACAGGATGTGAAATAGGTTTTTTTTCATCAACTTAATTCACCTCAATTGTCCAACATGTTCTCTGATGGATTTCTCTAAATAAGGTGGGTATATATATATATGAGTGTTATGGTATGTTTTAAAACTGACAAATTCCATGCGTTGAGATGGAAATTGAATTTATATAAGGTGATATGTTCTGTATAGCTGACGTCACCTTAACCTAAGTTTGATGTTGAGCTGTGATTCAAACGAAGGAGTGATGTAATTTGGACAAATTTTTTTCAGCGGAAGGTTTATCATTGCAATGAGATTATGAAATTGATTGACAAGTGTTGGCAAGAGACAGGTATGAAATGTTGATTTTGTGTACCTGTGCCTTTGGAAATATCACTGATTATTTATGTTAGCGGATCCAGTTTCAGACTTAACAGGTACACAAGTGAAAGATATCTGACAATATGTTACTGGCACGTAACAGGATTTAATTTAATTGTTACAGAGGTCATAGGAAGGATGGAGAGTGTCCAGTCAGACAGCAGTGGATTTGCTGAAGGTGACCACATGGATGTTCAGGAAAAGGTAAGATACTTCAGGATGTTCAACTGGAACAGATTAAGTTGGAATTTCAGTTTTCAGAATTTGTACAATATTTTTGATAATTGAATATCTTAACAGACCATAAAAAGGAATCATTTCCAGAATAACGTTGATAAGTCAAATAAAAAGTCACCTTCCATTTGATTATTTCTATCTTGTGGCATAAAAAAAAAATTGAAAAATTTCAAACTTGGATAAGAAATTTTCTGGGTTGTTTACATCAATTATTGTACTCCATCTCCTAGAATATTATAAACAAGTTGTGATTGTCAGGGTGATCAGAACTGTTTACATCAATTATTGTACTCCATCTCCTAGAATATTATAAACAAGTTGTGATTGTCAGGGTGATCAGAACTGTTTACATCAATTATTGTACTCCATCTCCTAGAATATTATAAACAAGTTGTGATTGTCAGGGTGATCAGAAACAGTTCTATTGCCAGAAAAAGTTTCTTGATTTTTTTAAATATTTTTTTTTCCATGAAATGTATTTTGAAAAAAAAAACCAGAAATGATACGGAATTCACTGATAAGGTGTCCCGTTTTGATATGCCTGTCACATGAAATAAAAGAAAATAATTATAATTTAAAAAAAACTAATACCATGATTTGATTTTAGTGAGACTTGATGGGTGAGTGTAATGTCAATTTAATGTATACAGATACTGAAGCTATCAACATTTACATATTGTGTGTTGTCAGGTGTGTACAATGGGAAGCAGTGGGGAGAGTGACCAGACCAATCAGAGCAGTACTACCATCCTCCATGATATTACAGACAGACCTCACTCGCCTGACCTTTGGTCAGAAGGTACAGTTCCACGACCAGTGTTCGTCATTCCTAGTAACAAGAAGGCAGTGAGGAAGGATGCCTCCATCTCTACTGATGACACTTGTGTAAGTCCTGTTTTGTCACCTGTGTTTGGAAAGATTCATCCCGTTCAACACGAGCAGTGTGATTCTGGAAATGAGACTCTCTCCGACAGATCTGTTGTTTTAACCATAGAACTCCCACAGGAATGGATAAGATCAGGACAGTTGTCAGGTGCTGATAAGGGAGTTATCTCCCTTTCCTACCATGACAATGAATTACAAATATCTCCAAATATGGACATCACTGATGAGGACGTACATAGGAGTTACGGATCAATTACTTCAAGCACCTCTGTGAATCCTTTAGAATCTACACCATTTAAGAGACCTGTCCGTCCGGAATGGGCCTCTACACCGAATCAACGTAAAAATCCACCTACTTACACAGCTCACCAACACCACATAACAACGAAACAAAGGTCAAGGTTATCCAAGATTTCATCTTCCTGTGAATCTTTGTACATGCCATACAAGCGTCATTTTGACTCAGACACTGATGGAGAACGTAAAAGTCAGTTTGATTCTGATACAGATGGCGAACGTCGCAGCCATTTTGCTAATCTTACTCATAGTGTCAACTCATCCTTTGATGGTAGTTTGTCGAGTGTAGCAGAGGAATCACTTGAATACTTTAAACTGAGACAGCTTATCAACAAACCTGTGACGTTTCAGGTAAGTCATCAACAAACCACTGACATTTCAGGTAATATATTGTCTAGAATCAGTGACGTTTCAGGTGATATATTGTCTAGAATCAGTGACGTTTCAGGTAATATATTGTCTAGAATCAGTGACGTTTCAGGATAGACATTAGCAATCAACAATGTTTCAGGTAAAACATTGTCAAAAAAATCCATGATTTTTTTTTTAGGTTTAAAGCCTTTACCAGCTAGCACATGGTATTTTAACATGTAAGTGATGTTTCAGGTAAAGACAAAAAAAATAGCAAAATTTAGTTTGGAGGTTGTCAGAAAATTCTCCAAAAGTCAATAATATTCTGTGAAAGAATCAGTCGACAGACAGATTACATTTGTAGGTGTTTATGTTGATTCCTTGTTGTTTTTAGCAGGAGACTCGGGGCTCAGTACCACTCACCAAATATCAGTCGAAATATCCCATCAAAACCTGGCCCTCCATTCAACAACGGCTGGTAAGTTATTTGGACTTTTACAAATAATTTGTTTACAATTATGAAATATCTTTAAGGTATTGTTTTTATTTCTTTGTTCACATTATGTGTGTTAATACAAACACTTATTACAGACTAGATACATTGTTTTGTTATTACATAATTTCCGCATGCCTGGTGATAAGCTATATCTGATATTTCAGAAGAAATGCAAAAAAAATGCTGTACAAATTGATCCCTCGACTGTGAAACTGATATTGTTTATTGATTCCCTCCGCTTTTCACAGGAAAAATACATGAACTACCTGTTAAGACTTCCTGTGGTATAAAACACCTAACATTATGTCTTAAAAAAAATACAGGAAAAATTGTTTGTGTTGTAAATTAACCAGGAATTCTAATTTTAGTTATTACAGGAGGAAACGCAGCTTGTTCAGTACGCAGTGCATCGATATAAGTTGGAACTAAACATACTGGAGACTACGTTCCTGGTCAATAAACAGCTTGCCTGGGATGAGCTGACTCCAGAAGAAAAGTGAGATATCTCTGTGTTTATTCGGGCATACTTATACTGAAGAATAGCAAGATCCAGTCGGCTGGTTCTGGTTAAATGTGTCGTCAGTATTTGAAATAACTTTTTTTTTTTATACTGTAAACATCCATATATTATCAGTAATCTAATCTTACTTTAATGCTTTACACTTAAATATGATGGTGCTAATTTTTCTGTTTGTGTGACATTAATATACTGTAGAAATAATAGTGAACATGCGAGTTATCCAAATTGGATATGGTTTAAATCTGTTTCACGCTGAAATATGTACATTTACAGTAGTTGGTGATTCATATATAGTATGTGTATTGCTAAGATTGGTGTTATTGAGGAAGTACTATCCTTTGTTATATGTTTGAAGAATTTTATCACTAGAATTAATTAATGCTAGAAGGAGAACTTTACAGGTGGAGTCAATCATTAGGGATGTAACCCTGGTAAAATACTAGCTGCAAAATACTGCTCAGCTACAGAGACATTCTCTTTAGCTTGATTGGTTAAGCATCAGACTAGTAAGCCAAGGGTCCTGGGTTCAATTCCTGGTGGAGGCATTGAAATTAATAATGACCTCTGTTACATTGGCGTCCATGTAGGGACACGGGAATAAATATTTAATAATGCCCCACCAGCGTTACTTTCACAAGTACCGCTGTGACCCCTGGACACTCGAGGACGAGTTATTTCCTAGAGAGGGAGTATGTAACCCTTGTAAAATACTAGCAGCAAAATGCCATTTGGCTAGAGAGAACTTCTCTTTAGCTCAATTGGTTTAGTATGAGACTGGTAAGCTGAGGGTTCAAAATTTGAATCCTAGCAAAGGCATTGAAATTAATAATGACCTCTGTTACAGGAGGAAAACAATGTTAATCTCAATGTAGTAATGTAATTGACAAAGTGAGTTTGTGGAATCTTTTTATCTGTGATGTCATTAAGTTATGACATCATAGTTGATACTATAGGACCAACAACTAATCACAGCTAGCTAGTTGTTACTAAATGTATGTATAAAACTATGCAATGACCTGATGTCAATTGGCATTCATGGGCATATGAATGCCAACATGATAACAGCAAATTCATTGATGTGCTCTATGTAGAATTTGCATGCATCAAGTTGGCATTTTTATCCTATGAATGCCAACTGAAAGCAGTTCAATGTTTATACTTACTGTTTTCAATATTCTTCTTATCATGAAGAATACAACTTCAGTTTGGTTATATTTACTTGCAAGGCTGATGGCAGTTGATGAGCTGGTAATACATAACTGACTTAAGTAAGATTACATGGTAGCATTGCTATACAATGGTAAATATTGGTTGTTATGACAACCATAATTTTGTAATTCTATGATTAAGGTTTAACACTAAAGTATTTAACCTTGAAATGTCTGTTTTTGTAATAAGGACGGAGCTGGACGAGCTTCAACTACTGTGGACAGAAGTGCGTAAGGAAGTCACAGAAATGGAACAGTACCTTGCCAACAGAATGGCTGCCACTCAAGTAGGAAATGATAGGTTCCAACCTCTGCTAGTGTTAGAGGTCGTACACAAGGTATGTGTCAAGGTCAGCTGTGACAAGCCAGGGTATATGTATTGGTCAATGAGTGAGAGGTCATTAGGAAGCATGGTCAGCTGTCATAATTAACCAAGGATCGTTAAAAAATGCTGAAAAAAGGGAAAATTTTTTCATGGTGAATAGAGAAAATTTAAAAGAATGTATTCAGAACATTAAATGGTTTTGTTGAGAAAGTCAGCTTTGGCATGCTTTGTCCATAGGAATATTGGTATGAAGATCTTTCACAAGTAAATAGTTTTTTTTTAAAAAGGTATTATATTTTAGAAGTTTTAATTTAAAGATGCTGAATAGTTAGATATTTTTGTGTTTATATTTATGATATAATATGATGTTGATATGCTGTTTGGTCTAGTGCCTTTAATTTCAGGCTTTATTCCACTCAGACTTATATTACAGCTACCCTTCTTTATTAAGTCCTTTGTTTAACAAATTCTACCATCCATTCTAGTGTAAGACTTGGCTATAACAAACATGTACATAGGTTTCCTGTCTGTTGTAGATGGTAAATCTCCTCAGGGAACAGATGTACCAGCAAGAGATCTATAAATCCAAAATGGATCTTGAGCTTGATCCACCATTCCAGCCTTCACTCCAAGTCCCCTGGTGGCCAGAAGTATCCCAGATGTTGTGGGACATCAAACAAAAAGTGTCTGAGCCTCCAGCCATGTCTAATACCTCAAGTGTGGCCTCGGGCAGCATGCAAGACGTAAGTTACCTCCCTTTAGAATGAATTACCTCCCCTTCCAATGAATTGTTTTCACCTCTCTTTTTAGTAGTCACTTTTCACCTTTCTGATGTTTTCATATGATATCTCAGTTAGTGGTATATGACTGTCATGTAAAAGGGGATGTTTGTTGAAAAGAGAAGACAAAATGCAAGTTAAAAGATGTTAAAAAAAGTACATATGAAAGAAAGCAAAATATTGGTTGATGTAAGTGTATAAAATTTTACAATTTATAAATTGCATTTAACTTTCATTATGTGCATATTTTCTGAAGGGATAGTCAAGGCTCTTTAAATGGGCTCTAAAATTTCCTTAATGTGGATTATTGTTGAAAGTGAACGTGTGAATTAAACCTTTGCTTTGTTAACTTAAAATATAAATGTCATAAATACTTTCAGTGTCTCTAATAGTTTTGTGTGTTCTCATTAAACAGCTGCGGCAAATTATCCGAGAGGAAGTCCAGCAAGAATGTAAAGACAGTCAACGATGGCTTCACAAGGAATTAGAAGTAAGTAGTGTATAAGGCTTTACTAGTGTGTTGTTTCACTGTTTTAGAAGTAATTAGAATTACTGAATTAGAAGTAAGTAGTGTATAAGTCTTCACTAGTGTCTTGTTTCACTGTTTTAGAAGTAATTAGAATTACTAAATGAGACGTAAGTCTTGTAGTGTATGAGACTTCACTAGTGTCTTGTTCCACTGTTTTGTTTCCATTTGTGAAAAAAACATGATCATTTCTTGAATATAAAGATTAGGGATTGATCTAAAGAAAGGAAAAAAATAGCTGATTGTTTAAACATTGACAAGCAGGGTAGGGGTGACATGTACCTTAAAGTCTGAAATTAAAAGGATTCTGGATATATAGAAATATTTGTAGATTTATTATTAAAAACATACATTTGTGGAACAGTGTTCCTGTGTCCAGGGGAGTGTTTCTTTTGTGGTGCCTGTTGACAAAATACAGTTTAAAATAATAAACATACATGGTATATTACAACAGTTGTAAAACTCCTTTTATCTACTTACAACAATCAATCTTGTTGCTATGGATGAAAGTGTGCAAAGGGTCGTACTGTCGGAGGAAACCAGAATGCTCAGGGAAAACCCACATAGTTAGACAGGTGTCAGGGAATCTAGGTTAAACGCAAGAGCATTGTGCCAGCCATATAAATATGGTTCAAAGGAAGTATATTTATCACAGAAGTAGGTGAAAGGGTTGTGATGATGTTTATCACAGAAGTAGGTGAAAGGGTTGTGATGATGTTTATCACAGAAGTAGGTGAAAGGGCTGTGATGATGTTTATCACAGAAGTAGGTGAAAGGGTTGTGATGATGTTTATCACAGAAGTAGGTGAAAGGGTTGTGATGATGTTTATCACAGAAGTAGGTGAAAGGGTTGTGATGATGTTTATCACAGGAGTAGGTGAAAGGGTTGTGATGATGTTTATCACAGAAGTAGGTGAAAGGGTTGTGATGATGTTTATCACAGAAGTAGGTGAAAGGGTTGTGATGATGTTTATCACAGAAGTAGGTGAAAGGGTTGTGATGATGTTTATCACAGAAGTAGGTGAAAGGGTTGTGATGATGTTTATCACAGAAGTAGGTGAAAGGGTTGTGATGATGTTTATCACAGAAGTAGGTGAAAGGGTAGTGATGATCTCTTTGAAATTGAAATTTTGAAACATTTACATTGCATCCGATTATTCTTAACAATTGTATATTTCAGGCGAAAGAAAAGGAGTTATGTAAGCTGAGAAAAGAAGTTATATCCCAGAATATAAAGGAAGGACAAACGAAAGTGAAGAAATACTATGAAAGTGTTGTGTGACAAGAACACAAGGGAGATAACTGTGATAATGAACACTTCATGCTATAGTATCAGCAAATACTGATCCAGATAGCTAAATGTTATATAAAGTGCCTTGTATGTACCTAGACTGTGATTGGAAGGGCTTTACAATGAACTTAATTTGCCCAAGAGGAAGATTGACTGTGATTGGGAGGACTCCATACTTATCAGTGAAGAATAATCATTATAGAATAATTTCAACTAAGGTTGTGTTAAAACTATTTCACCGATGTCCATGATTTTTTCATGAGCTATTCTACACAATTAGAATTTTATCAAACAGAATCTTTTTAGAAAATAATGTTACAATATTATTTTTAATAGATTTGTGTTTCATTTGTAACCTTTGTACAATTCTGTAGTGAGATATCCCTAGTCTACCAAATCTCCTGACTCAGTGATTCTAGATCGTCAGGTATGGATTGTATAATTATTTCTATGTTAAAGAATATCTTATTCTAAAGGAACACCAAGCAGGACTTTGCTTACGAGAACCTGTTAAGTTCCACTTCTTTTAACTATGTTTAACCGTGTTAAAAAAATTCACATTGAAAGAGCCTTATTTCACTTCCTCATCAAATTGAGACTGTAATGAATTTTAACTATAGATGATTGTTCATGTATTGTGATAAAGAAACTACTTATCACCAGATACCTGACTATCAAATTGTTATAAAAAAAGGTATGCAAGGGTCAGCTATTAACTTGAAATGTATGAGGGTTAAAAGTAATGTAAAATGTATGGGAGAGTTAGATATTAATTTAAAAAGTATGGGACAGTTAAAGATTAATGTAAAATGTATGGGGGAATTAAAAATTAATGTTAAATTTATGGGAGGGTTTAATATTAATGTAAAATGTATGGGAAAGTTAAATATGAGAGTTAAATGTATTGGACAGTTAAAAATTCATGTAAAATGTATGCGAGAGTTCATTGTCAACGTAATATAAAGATGGTCTTTGATTCTTTTACTGGTAGACTTCAGGTTTAATCTCAAGGGGAGATAATTGAGTAAAGTTTAGAAAGCAATTCAATTTTCATTAATCATTGTCAGGCTGAAGGGTTAAGGGTGTAAGGGGCAGCACAATATTACAAAGAAAGGTGGGTTCTGATGGTGAGAAAGATAATATTTGATAGGTCATGTATATGATATATTCTGGGATGTATTTGTAAATAACGTACTTCAAAATTATCATGTGCAAATTTTTATTTTAATTATTGGAGATCTGTACAATATTTCATGGTACAGATGACCTTATGCTTTCAGCAACAGATGGGATAATGTTTGTGATGATCCTGTCAATGGAATTGGTGCTATTTTCATAAATAATTATTTAAACATTATTACATTCCTTCGTAGCTTGTCTTTCATTCTTCTAGACAAATCATTTTTAACTTTTATTTTTTCTGAGTTCTAGTCTTTTACTGCATTGTAGATGAGAAAAACGATTTGTGTAATAACTTTGCCAAGATGTATATGTATATATTATATATGTATAGAATATTGTACAAATATTTTGTACAGTTTATTAGAATTGATTTAATCAATTAAAACATGAGAAATTTGCAAAATTTTTAGAAAGAGATATATTTTTGTAAATTATTTGATCTAATGTATAGTGTTGATATGGGCATGTTTTTTAATTTCCAGGTGAAGTTGTATACATCTTCAATTTGATCAATAATATGTATATAGAAAATGAAAGTAGAATACAGTATGTCTGATATATTCTTACATCACAATAATTGTATATTATATGGGGACTATTTATCTGTTAAGTTTGATCAATTGAATAAAAGATTGTACTACATACATTTTGATACATTGTGCAATTTTCCCTTTTTTACTGTCACCTTTTTCTATTTTCAAATACCTGTTGTTCTGTTGCAACAGCTTAATCTTAATTTATATAAAACATACACTATAGAACAAACATCTTTTTCATTGAACTTCAGCTCTCTCATTTTAATCCTCGGCACAAAATCAATAACCAGTAGTATTTTATTTTTTTCTAATCATTGTTGCAGTTGATCAATAAATATAGGGAAACATTAAAAAAAATGTTTGTCACCAATAGCTTTATGCAATAAGACTGAAATTTGTTGCAAGATCAGAAATTAATGTTGTACATGATTATCATATCGTTTTGCTGTGTTAGAATACGGATTCCGAAAGAGCATGTCAGATGTTGTCAATGATATACAAACAACACCAACCGAAGTGATATACAGATAATCACGGAGACAGAAGAATCCGTCTTAATGCATTATACACTGTGATGTTACTGTGTTTATTTAGCAATAAGCCCATGTCTGTTAATAAGCCCACCAGTTTTAGCTTATCTTCAGTATAATTACTAACAAATGATATTTTATGGTCCTCAAGCTGGTGCTGCAGTGGCCGAATGGTCAAGATGTCGACCGTCTTTATCACTAGCCTTCAACCTCAGTTGCTTGTTCGAGGCCTATGTGGTCAGATACCAGGTTCTGACTGTAGGTTGGTGTTTGTTTCTCTGGAGACTCAGACTTAACCACTACAACCTGGCATGTCCTTAAATGATCCTGGCTGTTAATAGGATGTAAGTCAGAGTGTCTACAAACCAGTTTTTTTTTTTATAAACCCATAGGCCCTAGGTAGCAATTAATGAATTCAAAGGTTTGAGTTTATATCCTCTTAGTGAAACACAACTGTTCAGCATAGCTAGTGCTTAATGAAAAGTTCACAACTAAAATTGTAAAATTGGTAAAAGTTCAGAATATTTAACCAGGAAAAAATGTTTAAAAATTAAAAAAAAAAAAAATTAAAAATACAGGAAAATTTAATTACACCTAATTCTGATGAATGGATATTTTAGAACAGAAAATCATGTGTTAAGTTTACAGGAAATTTATCTGATATTCCTAATCAAAGGTTATTTAAATACAAATTAGTAGAATCAGCCTTCATTTGTGTACTTCATTGTCATAAGGTTTTAATTTGACAGATGTATCATTGGCAGTTTTCAGTTCAAGAAGTTGTTAATTGTGTTTCATGAAACTGCAATATTAGATTTGTACACCGTATCTTAAGAACCATGGCCAGAAAGGCTGCATATCATCACAATGTTCTTAATGAGCCAATGTGTTGGTCATTATCATATCGGAATTCAACAAATAAATTTCTTGCGACCACAAAATGCACTGTAATGCGTGTCCAAACATCAGATATCCTGAGATCTTGTGTGTGGATTTTAACTTGTTTTGATAGGTTCTGTAAAAAATTTACATTGGAGGTTCGTATATGTTAAATGTAGCAACATGTGATGTTTATAGTAAAGTTTTTTATTTTGGAGGCATCCTAATTTAAGCTATTTTTAAAAATGGAATAGAATAGTAAAGAAAAATATAGATCACTTGAATATAAAATCAGTAAAGGAAACCACTGTCCAGTTCATGACTTATGTGAGTATTATGTTCTTTTATGTGAATCAATGTTTTGTGAAAAAGCAAATTTTTAAACTACTGAAAATATTAATCTTTACAATAACTAAGAACAAATGGCAAAAGAGCTCGCTCTTCAATGATCAAGTCGTCAATTTTACATAAAGTGAAGACCAGTGTAGTGGATCAGTTCATTTATGTTAATTTTTCAATCATTTTCTAGCTAATACTTTCATGACAACTTTTGTCCATAGTGTCTTAAAAGTTCTTGTTGTTTCTAAAGGGAAGTTGCAAATATGTGTGAAATGCTTTTATGTGTTTTAGCTTTAATCTGGTTAATTTTTTCAATGATAACTTACCACGTAATTTTGTGTTCACAATGACAACAGCAATCGGGTAGTGTACTTATTCAGTTATCTTTCTTTTAGAGGTTACTGTAACTGTATTTATTCAGCAATAAGCCCACCTGTGTCTACTGTGCAGTTGAGTAGAAATACCAACAAATGCTACATGATTATCCTGTAATAAGCCCACCCTCTACTTGGAGTATGGTTTTGTTTTGGCCTAAGGTGCTTTTTAAAGAATCTGAACGATAACATTGTGCTTTCCACACTGTCAGTTGGTGATAAAGCTGAACGTGGCTTTAAGGCATGAGATGTTGAGTCTGCATTTATGTGTGAAAATATATTTTGTATTAATTAATATTACGATTCCACAAGAAAAACTTTGAAATATTTTTGTACAAAATGTGAAAATTTTGTAACATTTATTTATATGAAATAAATAAGATAATTAAAAATGTATACCAAATATTTTTATTGTACATATAATTATGCATTTTCCCGATAAGCCAAATGAAATTGTAGAAATTGCACTAACCAAGACATTCCATTTATATGAAAATATTCTGGAGAGAAACTGTTTATTATCACCATAAAAAGACAAATAATTTATCATTATTACTTATTATTGTGACAGAAGAGTAGAAGATTGGATATTATCACAATTTACTATGACAGAAGTTTGGTTATTATCACTGTTAACTGTGACAGAATATTGGTTATTATCACTGTTAAATGTGACAGAATATTGGTTATTATCACTGTTAAATGTGACAGAAGATTGGTTATTATCACTGTTAAGTGTGACAGAAGTTTGGTTATTATCACTGTTGACTGTGACAGAAGTTTGGTTATTATCACTGTTTACTGGGACAGAAGAATGGTTATTATCACTGTTAACTGTGACAGAATATTGGTTATTATCACTGTTAAATGTGACAGAAGATTGGTTATTATCACTGTTAAATGTGACAGAAGTTTGGTTATTTTCACTGTTGACTGTGACAGAAGTTTGGTTATTGTCACTGTTAGCTGTGACAGAATATTGGTTATTATCACTGTTAAATGTGACAGAATATTGGTTATTATCACTGTTAAATGTGACAGAATATTGGTTATTATCACTGTTAAATGTGACAGAAGATTGGTTATTATCACTGTTAAATGTGACAGAAGTTTGGTTATTTTCACTGTTGACTGTGACAGAAGTTTGGTTATTATCACTGTTAAATATGACAGAAGATTGGTTATTATCACTGTTGACTGTGACAGAAGTTTGGTTATTATCACTGTTAGCTGTGACAGAATATTGGTTATTATCACTGTTAAATGTGACAGAATATTGGTTATTATCACTGTTAAATGTGACAGAAGAATGGTTATTATCACTGTTAGCTGTGACAGAATATTGGTTATTATCACTGTTAGCTGTGACAGAATATTGGTTATTATCACTGTTAAATGTGACAGAATATTGGTTATTATCACTGTTAACTGACAGAATATTGGTTATTATCACTGTTATATGTGACAGAATATTGATTATTATCACTGTTAACTGTGACAGAAAATAGATTATCACTGGTAATTGTGTCACAAGATTGTTTATAATTGTTAAAGGTCAGAAAATTTGATTATTGCTGTGAAATATTGTCACAGATAGGGCTTATACCACATGTATTTATATATTATATTCACCAAAACAATGATCTGAAAAATAAACCCATCTGTTCAAAACGAAGTGGCTGTATCATTGTTCTGTTTTGTATGACTTGCTTATGATCAACATTGTTAAGAGTTTGGAGAAATACTATGAATTATGCATTATGTAATGAAATCTGACTGAAAACTGCTAGGACCCTGAAGAAAACTTTCCCATCACAACATTAATATTCTAATCATTAATTTTGACCTGATCATCTTAGCTGATATTGGGAGATTTTGAAAGAATATTTCAAGTTTGTTTTAAGAATGCTTGAAGTTTTGTGGAATGTACAATTTTAAATCAGGAGAACACACATAAACTAGCTTTGTGGAATAGATGAACAGGTTTTCCTATTAACAAGGTATCAAAGTTTCAAATGTAAGTCACGACTGGGATACAAGAAAAACAACCCAAAAAAGCCACATCTGTACTTTTAAACAGTTTATTATTGTTCTCATGCAAAAGTTAGAAACACCCTTTTCAGGTTTTCAGAACTACAGATAAACTATGCACACCAAACATTAGTAATTCAGTGTCATGTACTAATTTCAAGATATAGACTAGCTTGACACTGAACAAGTGATGTCTCGTGTCGCTATATATAATGTGTAGAAAAATGGCTTCCGTCTTATACTCTATGCATCAGATGTACAGCCTTCTGGTTCAAAATCATGAATACAACGCAATAATGGCAGATCTGTACATAACGATAATATTAATTCGCATTTCTGTGTCCCTGAACATCTTAACGACACCAGAAAACAGAAGGCTGATCATCACTTCAATCTCTAATCACATTCACTGTAAAATATCTGATACCAAGTCAATGACATTCTGCACACAAATCCCGCAATCCCAAATCGACCACCCAAACGAAATAGATGTCAGCAACATATCTGATTTCATCAGGTCAGCCTGATACTGACAAGGTCTTAACCTGCTCAAATTATGAAAAATGCTAGAATTACCTGATATTATGATACTTTGGATCAATATTTAAAAGTTTCAAATTTAATATTTTTAATAATCTTATATAGTCAGTATAATGTTCAAACAACATAGCCCATCTTTATAAAATACCTACTGATGTCATAATTATACAATAGAATTCATCAGAAGGGCTTTTTAACTTGATGACCCATTAGGTAGCAGGAAACAGTTAATTTGCATTTTTCCTGAAGTTATTGGGTCATGTTTGAGATATACAGGTAAAGCAGTTTGGTTATGAAAAATACATCATTACATGTATATTTATTTATGAATTACATACATAACAGTTACATTAATAGTAGAGAGATAAAATTTGCGAAAATCAAAAATTTCCTCTGATTTCTGACATGTGATTGCTATGGTTACCAACTGAAAAAATGCTAAAAATGCAAAAATACTGCTAATTTCAACCTAACATTACAACTTTATGCAAGAAATTTATTTCTGAACACCTGTCTTAAAATCAACAACTCTTTCATGGTAACAAACTACTAACATTTCAGCAAATTCCAACTCCGAAATCCTTCACAACATGTTCATCTAAACACTATGAAAATTTCACTTCCTGTAAAGCTAGTTTTTAATATGTAGACACAGATTTGAGACTGCTCAAAGAGTAATCTCTAACACAAAGCTAAAATATTATTCTGAAAAAAAGGAAACCCCACTTTGTCCACTTCAACATTGACAAGACCAATTTTAGCAAGGATTTATTTTTTAGATTTTAATTAAAGCCTTTATAATGGGGTAATCTGATGAGCAAAAAAAATCACCCATGGCCACACCGCGAAACTGTACTGCTACCTTTATACATGACACAAACAGCAGTTGACAGAGAAAATGAAAATTTATTAAATATCAAAATTTGAACTTTACCTTGTTCAGGACATAGAAATAAATAATCTAAACAAGGTTTTGGTAATCGTAGGGGCTGCTTACTATCTAACCCTCCTACTGAAATTACAAAAAACGATATAAACTGGCACAAAGCAAAAGATACAAAAACCTATCTAATTACAAATAAGCAAAATTACTTAAAACACAATAAAGTGAAAGTGGGGCGATCCCCGGGCAAGCTCAAAAGCTGACACAACCACCAGGCAACCTTGAAGGTTATAAGGAGAAGCAGGCGACCCCACTGCAACACAGAGCGATACCCTTGATCTTGAAGGTCATGACTATACATTTTTTATGTCATTTGACAAGAAAGGACTTCATATATTTTGATGTAAATTTTCATCTTCTATTACCAAGGGTTCCGGTCCAACACCTACCTATGAATTAAAGTTTATTTTGACATGACGAATGTGTATGAGAAATTTTTGTAGCATAAACATAAAAAGTGTTGAAAATAGAATTTATAAAAAAGATATTAATACAATCAGGTTTCCATCTGACTAAGATGCCATTTGAGTTACCTGCATCATGGTCTCTTATAAAAAGCTCAAAGTAAAAATCCTGAATTCTGTCAATCATCCATGGAAAAGGGCCCATATAAGATAACTGTAATACAGATAAAATTGTGTATTTTTTAATGAAAGTTTCGATGTCTTGGCATTAATTTTTGTGACAGTAAAATTGGACAAAAATGATTTCCTCATAGACATGTGAATTTCATTTGTTTTGTGACTGAGCCATTCCTGGTGTGTCACTGTGAAATGCTAATTGACCATGATACAAATACAAATACGTGTTGTGTAGAAGTCTTTATAATTAATTCTTATTTAAGTAACAATGTGTATATTTGGTAACAATAAAAAAAAAAAGCATTTAACATTTCATTTCTTACTGAATATATATATCTTGCAAATATCATGTGACATAATTCTGCCAATCATGACAGGAGACAATTTTACATTTGTTTCCTTGACTGTCTCCACCTCATTTCTGGACATTTCACATACATGTAGTTAAAAATAGGTACAGCTTTTTAACTATTTCTACACCATCACAAAATCCCCCAACAAGAGTGCCGTGGACACAATATATGCCGCCACAAAATATAATAATCTTACAAAAATCGCCCCTTCATGCACATCTACCCCTTGTAGTTGTGACATTGAGCAAGTTTCATGAAAATCTGATGATTAGTTTAGGAGGAGTTGCATTCACAAGGCTCCACTATGAGCAAGCTACAGATACAAAGTCGAAAATGGCATAAATCTTACAAAAATCAAAGAACCGAAAAATAGCCCCATCATGCACATCTACCCATTGTAGTAGTGACATTGGGCAAGTTTCATGAAAATCTAATGACTAGTTTAGGAGGAGTTGCTTTCACAAGAAATGGACGTACGGAAGGAGAAGATGATGCCAATATACGACCGCCTCCGGCGACATATAAAAATGATGTCTAAATCTGTACTGATGAACAAACTCAAACAGCATATCACATGATGCCATTTTGTTTCAAATATCATAACCCTCATTTGCCTTCTGTAACCATACATATTTCAGCGGTTGTCATATTTTAACGGTCTCGAACAGAAAGTATTGTACTAAAATATGATTACACGTACTGCAGTTACTTATGTTGCTTATAAAGTAACTTTTATGGATGCATGCACTTATTCCACTAATTGGGCAGAAAACGTCAATGAACTAAAATTTCATTGTTTCATATTAAATATGTTTACAACATTTCACTGTTCCATTCATGTGATATCAAAAAATAAAAAAAATAATGACAGTATTCAGCATGTTTTATAAAAAATAGAATAAGTACTGTATGAACCATTCAATGAATTCAATAAACTGATATTTGAACATATATAGTTGTACGAATATCACACATAAATGGGAATCAGGTTCCCATTTCAAATCAATATTTGAATACACATAATTATATGATTAAAAAGATATATCTGTGTTAATTTTAAATCTAGATATTGCACCAGTTTTTGTATTTAATTCTTATGGAAAACACTGATTAAAAACTTCCAAAGTCACTGGTTGTAAAAATTATCTCTATGTAAAAATTTACATGAAGAATTATACTTGATATCTGCATTTCTGAGATCATCAGGTCATTCTGGAACTCTACCAATCAATTATCTAGCTATTTTGGTATCCATTCTTAATTGGTTTCAATTCCTTTACAGATAAATTTTCTATTATTTTTCATTATTTGTCATGAGGAAGTCAACCCATGTATATATATATATATATATACACACATTCAAACCTGTCTATATAAGCCATTCAAGAGAGCAGAGAAAATGGCCTTTATACACAGGTGGTAAAGGCCATTCAATGGAGTAGAGAAAAGTGGCCTTTATACACAGGTGGTAAAGGCCTTTCAATGGAGCAGAGAAAAGTGGCCTTTATACACAGGTGGTAAAGGCCATTCAATGGAGCAGAGAAAAGTGGCCTTTATACACAGGTGGTAAAGGCCATTCAATGGAGCAGAGAAAAGTGGCCTTTATACACAGGTGGTAAAGGCCATTCAATGGAGCAGAGAAAAGTGGCCTTTATACACAGGTGGTAAAGGCCTTTCAATGGAGCAGAGAAAAGTGGCCTTTATACACAGGTGGTAAAGGCCATTCAATGGAGCAGAGAAAAGTGGCCTTTATACACAGGTGACTTTTAATTTACTATGACTTCAATTACAATGACAACAAAGGCAGGTGGACATTGTATAAAGGTGACCTTTAAGACAGGTTTGTCTGTATATTGCTAATCAGCAAAAAATCAAGTCCATGCTATTTAAATGTCCTGTAATAACACTGTCTCCTTTTAGCCCCAATGACAAATACCTTTATGTTCATGATCACAAGATTCCTGTAAGTATAGCAATAATACAATGACCTTTTCCAGGCTCTTCAATTATCATTATCAGCACAACAAAACTTCAGATATTGGTGACAGTGAATATACAGATCAGTTCCACATATCTTCCTTAATTTAAGGAAATCTTAATTACCACAGGAAAGCATTACGTAACTTAAAGGTAAACTTAGATTTAAGGAAACTTCCTTAATTTTTGTAATGCTTTTCTTATGGGCTATTTTAAAAGTTAAGGAAAATGCCTTGAGTGGAGAAAGATTCATGAAAAAGGACCATGTATTACAAAACATTATTACAACAATGTAATAACAAAAATGAGAATTTTTTATTTTCATAAAATTCCTGTTTTATGATTAGCATGGTTACTATTTAAACTGCATTGGAGATTGGGTAACCAAAACTTAAGGGTTTATTAATCTAAACTTTATTTAACAACAATTTTCAAAACATTTTCCAACACATAATAATCACTTTTGATGGCCCAGATGGAAATGTGCAAGAGGAGTCTTACTGTGGGAGGACACTGGAGTATTCAGGGAAAACCAACATGTCTGTTCATGAATACATACCTTTTCCAATCATCCCAAGAATCAAACTCTAGTGAAAGGCAAGTGTATCACCAATGTGCCGCCTGTCCATCAACAAGTTCATCTATAGCTGACTTAGTGTGAACAATACAACTTCATGTTAAATTTCAGTTCAATATTTCTCTACATATTGTCATGATGAAAAAATCACTCTCATTTCATGAAATCCCAGCTCAAAGGAATTTCACAGCAATTATCATGTGTGGGGAGTAAGGTTATCCCACTTCCTGTAAAGCTAGTTTTTGATGTGTAGACTCAGATTCAAGACGGCCAAATTTGCACTCTGTGACAAAATAGTTTCTTTATTTTCTTTTCTGAAAACTATGAAGCCACTTTGACACAAGGATACTAATTCTAAAGAACATTAATTGTTTTTTTGAACTCCAGATAAATATCAACTTTTGATATGGCACAGTCTTTAAGGCTTTGAACCAACATCTCTTGTCTCCTTTATCATTTGTTGAGTATGGCTAGGCTACAACCCTCTGTGATGTCACAAAGTGTCATTGTTTCTGATGTCACCGTAAAAGTACAGCACAGAGCCACCAGTAAACTTCATCTATACAATCAGAGAATCTCCAGCTGCGAGCCCTCAGAGGATTCTTTCTTATCAGGTCCACCTCTATGTTTAGGACATTTAAAATCTTCATTCCTGTTTCATCCCGAGCCAACTGTTCGATGTATCGAGTAAACTCTACCATTGGCTTTCCCCTCATGAACTCTTCAATCTGCAAACACACAGAACATTCAACAACAATACTACAGTAGGTTCCATAAATGATTTGCCTTCCTGTTAAGTTGGTTGAAAAGTGAAATGTGACATAATTTAGCAATGAATAATGAACAATACGCCATAATGAAATTTCTACAATGTACACAATTTTATTTGATCTATGAATGTTGTATATATGCATGATTTACATAAACAGGAGACCTGCTTTACATCAAATAATTTGTTCTGCTGCTCAAGTTGAGACGAAAAGTGTTTATTTCAAATACATTAACCTATAAACTGTTGGCACATCCAATCAATTTTAACGAATTTACACAACAAGCAGCTTATGATACTCAAACCCTAATCAGCAACAGTTATCACCTGGATTACAGGTAAATGTCAATTTTTTTTTCCTTAAAATTTGTCAGGTTTTTACCTAGAAACACATTTCCACCAAATATCCTGCTTCTCAGATTTTATCAGAGTCTTTTACAGGTTTTGACAGTTTGACCCCTGTGACCTCTAATGTGGTTAAAGTTCATTTCATTTTTGCAAATTTTGTCAGGCTTTATACCAAAAAATTACCAGCAAATTATCATGCTTCTGGGCCTTATGTTATGCAGAAGTTGTTTAAAGGTTTTAACCAATTCCATCCTTGTGACTTTGAATTAGGGTCAAGGTCATTAATTTCCAAGTAATGTAAGTTATGCCTGGTTTCATCCTTGGAACTAATTAGTTAAAACCATGCTTTTGCATCTTTTGATTGTTTTAAGATTTTAACAAGTGAAACTCATGTGACCTTGAATAAGGTTCAAAGTCATTTTCTTTTTGCAAACATTGTCAGACTCCATCTCAGAAAGTTATAAGCCAAATACCATGCATCTGTGTAAGTCAAAAGAAGCTGTTTTAAGGTTTTAACAATCTGACCAAGTGATCTTGAATAAGGGTCAGGATCATTTCTTTTTGTAAACTTTGTTGGGCATCATCCCAGTAATCCACCAGCTAAATACCATGACATTTGGTGTGTAGGTTATTGAGAAGAAGTTGTTTAAATGGGAAAGTTGATGCCTGATGGACAGATGGACTGACGGACAGGCAGAGGACAGCTGCTGCACTACAGTATAAGCTCACTAGGCCCTTCTGGCATTCAGAAGAATTTAGTTGAAGGAGACTAAATTTTGTATAAACAAAGAGTCTTTAAGAAAAAGAGCAAATTTTTAAAAGTTGTACATCTTCTGTAGGTCTTGACTCTGTCCCAATTTGGTCTGAAGCATCATTGAGTGAATGGAAATCAATTTTGTATCAAACATGGGTCTCAACCCCTCTGGTGGGAAGGCAAGGGCCAACAGCGAAGATTCAGCAATTCAGCAAATTCTTTAAAACCATATATCTTTTGTAGGAGTTCCAGAATTCACTCCTTATTTGGTCTGAAGCATCTCTACTTCAGTACTTAAGTATTACTTATATGTCTGTAATCAGGAGTGATCCGAATGGTAAATGAAGGTGTTGGATGGTTTTTAAGAATGTCAAGTTACTTCGTCCAAGTGTAAGTGTCATTAATGTCTATACTGTTATCATATTTTCCACATACCACATGGAGCAGAGTGCGACAGAACTCTGACTTGCAGCTTCGCACTAACAACATGACATCCTCTGGTAGTTCTGTCATAGCCTCTAATAGATGGCAGCATGCTTCAAATTCCGGCGTGGGTGCTACAGGTGATGTTATTTTTTCTTCCTAAAAAATAAAAATCCTCACTTATTCAAGTTCTTTTAAGTATAAGCTTCACTCTTGAATGTGCTTTATAGAGTTAGGGAGAACTTACAACATATCATCAACCATCATCTTATTTGACTCTAAATTGAAAAATGAAATTTAACACAATTTTCTATGAATATTAAGAAACAAACAAACCTGTCAAAAGCCATTTAAATCAAATATGAAACACCGAAGAATGCAATAATAAAGAATCCAATCATTCAAAATACAAAATTCCTATGGTTGTAATAATAAAGAGTTCAAAGACAGGATGACATTTCATTAAATTTTGCTCAATTAATTGTTTGCAACTCTCTTTATTGCAACACTCTTTATTGGGTCTCATCACTACAAAGATCGTTTTAGACGGACCTGTTAGTCTTTATAGGGTCTCGTCACTATCAAGATTGTTTTAGACGGACCTGTCAGTCTTTATAGGGTCTCGTCACTACCAAGATTGTTTTAGACGGACCTGTCAGTCTTTATAGGGTCTCGTCCCTATCAAGATTGTTTTAGACGGACCTGTCAGTCTTTATAGGGTCTCGTCCCTATCAAGATTGTTTTAGACGGACCTGTCAGTCTTTATAGGGTCTCGTCCCTATCAAGATTGTTTTAGACGGACCTGTCAGTCTTTATAGGGTCTCGTCCCTATCAAGATTGTTTTAGACGGACCTGTGTCTTTATAGTCTTTATAGGGTCTCGTCCCTATCAAGATTGTTTTAGACGGAGGGTCTTGTCCCTATCCTGTCAGTCTTTATAGGGTCTCGTCCCTATCAAGATTGTTTTAGACGGACCTGTCAGTCTTTATAGTCCCTATCAAGGTCTGTCGTCACTATCAAGATTGTTTTAGACGGACCTGTCAGTCTTTATAGGGTCTCGTCACTATCAAGATTGTTTTAGACGGACCTGTCAGTCTTTATACTTTATAGGGTCTCGTCACTAGATTCACCTGTCTAGGGTCTCGTCACTACCAAGATCGTTTTAGACGGACCTGTCAGTCTTTATAGGGTCTTGTCCCTATCAAGATTGTTTTAGACGGACCTGTCAGTCTTTATAGGGTCTCGTCCCTATCAAGATCGTTTTAGACGGATCGTTTTAGACGGACCTGTCAGTCTTTATAGGGTCTCGTCCCTATCAAGATCGTTTTAGACGGACCTGTCAGTCTTTATAGGGTCTCGTCCCTATCAAGATTGTTTTAGACGGACCTGTCAGTCTTTATAGGGTCTCGTCCCTATCAAGATTGTTTTAGACGGACCTGTCAGTCTTTATAGGGTCTCGTCCCTATCAAGATTGTTTTAGACGGACCTGTCAGTTCTCGTCCCTATCAAGATTGTTTTAGACGGACCTGTCAGTCTTTATAGGGTCTCGTCCCTATCAAGATTGTTTTAGACGGACCTGTCAGTCTTTATAGGGTCTCGTCACTATCAAGATTGTTTTAGACGGACCTGTCAGTCTTTATAGGGTCTCGTCACTATCAAGATTGTTTTAGACGGACCTGTCAGTCTTTATAGGGTCTCGTCACTATCAGATTGTTTTAGACGGACCTGTCAGTCTTTATAGGGTCTCGTCACTACCAAGATCGTTTTAGACGGACCTGTCAGTCTTTATAGGGTCTCGTCCCTATCAAGATTGTTTTAGACGGACCTGTCAGTCTTTATAGGGTCTTGTCCCTATCAAGATCGTTTTAGACGGACCTGTCAGTCTTTATAGGGTCTTGTCCCTATCAAGATCGTTTTAGACGGACCTGTCAGTCTTTATAGGGTCTTGTCCCTATCAAGATTGTTTTAGACGGACCTGTCAGTCTTTATAGGGTCTCGTCCCTATCAAGATTGTTTTAGACCGACCTGTCAGTCTTTATAGGGTCTCGTCCCTATCAAGATTGTTTTAGACGGACCTGTCATAGTCTGGTCACTATCAATTCACATAAAGTCAGTGTGAGAGTTACAGACCACCTTACCTCCAATTCAAATCCAGCTAGTTTAAGAAAATCACAGCAAGTTGTCCGGTCTTTGAATTTTAAGCCTGAGATTCCTTGAAATGAAAGTGTATCTGTGGTTCCTGAATCAGAGAATCTGTTCTCTACCTGGTCAAACTGCAACAACAAGTACAACAACATTAGAATAGACTTGAAAACTCATATTACTCTATCTATTCCTTACTGTCACCACAAATGTGTAATTTTTATATTCTTTTTTTATCTTTTTAAATTGATCTCAAGTTGCCGTTCAGTTATTTAATCTTGTGTTGCTAATGCTAATATTTTGTGTTTGTCCTGGTGCTGGCTCAATCACTAGCAATTAATTCATCATTTCTCTGCTTTTAACACTAGACCTGTCTGTACATTAGTATCCATGTATATAGACAAATAACATACATTTCCTTAGATTTTGATGCATTAAAATATTTCCAGGATATTTAATGTTGCATTAACTTATTTACTGCAAAAATATTGAAATTAAATCCCCATGGAAATGTACAGAGAATATGGTGCGAGTCACTTTTGTCTTACTGTCCTGAGCCAAAATAAAACTTATGTTTTGAGACACTGACCATGAATTCTATTTAGCCTGCAACACTGATTGAAAATCAGACTTTTAAAACTCATAGTGTTTTCGTTCAATTTGTGTTTACCTGACATTGACAATACACTGAATTTTGATTGATGTCGAATGCCAAATTAATTGCTCCACATGGAAACATAGTTCCAAACTTCATCAGATATAACATCGATTTATGAATTTTCATAAATCAACTTGTTCATTATAACATGTAAAATCGCCTATTGCAACAACTATTTATATTTCTAAACATACCATATGAGTAAATTCAGAGAGTAATTGTGTCAAATTACTGCACATGCGAAAATACAGCTGTTTTCCCCCACTGCCAAATACAGCAAAAATATACGTGGCAGGTATATTCCGACAATGGTCGTGCCAGTTGCAGGATAAAGTGATATACATGTACATGTTGATTTTCTTTTTTAATTCAACCTGTATCTTCCAACAAGAGGCCTAGCAGCCTTGACGGTCACCTGAGATAAGCAATATTGAATATAAAAGTTAAAGGATAGTTATCAAGTGTCATGAAACAGAAATTGTGACACTTAATATTGACAGTGTCAACATATGCACTCCATCAAAACTGTCCTCCTTCACTGATAATTCTTATACAGTTATTTCCAGTGGGAAATAACCAATGTTATGCTCAAAAATACTATTTTTCTATGAAAATTACAATAAAGTCTAAAAAATATTCCTCCCCAGGAAGAAATGTGAGACTCATTCTGGTAATTAAAGCATCTAAAGATGCTTTCATTCATGAAGAGCATTTGATTCTATCATATCTAGGTCTTGAGAAGCAGATTTTTGAAATCTGAGTCAATTTGACTCCTCTTGGCCCCACCCATCAGCTCCTGAGGGGCAGTCAGGATCAAAATGGGCATACCACCAAGCTGTCACTCTTTACTCATTATTCTTAAACATTTCCAAAAAATTTAACAAATTATGCAAAAAAAATCTAGTTTTCCTATATAAGCTTTAGTAAAATTTACCTCTCCCAACAGGTATATGTGAGACCCTGGGGCCATGAAATTCACAATTTTGGTAAAGATGCTTCCATTCACGAAGAGTATTTGATTCTACCATATCTGGGTCTTGAGAAGAAGATTTTTGAAATCTGAGTCAATTTGACTCCTTTTGACCCAACCTCTCAGGCCCCTGGTGGGTGGGGACTGTATAATTCAAAATTTTGGTTCATTTTAGGCAAGGGAAGGTTTCTGCAAAATTTCATTGAAATTGGATCAGGTTTTTTTGAGTAGAAGTCAAAAGTGTTAAATTGTTTATGGACCCACAATGCACAACGCCAGAAGAAGGGTATTATTATAGGTCATCATGAGACTTTGTCCCAGGTGACCTAAAAACTAGGGGCTCATCAGGCATTATCAATCATCTGGTATTTAATGTCGTTCAGTTGACAACATACTTATGATAGTGCTCTTCAGGCACCACATCATTAAAACCATCATCACCTCATGTACACTAGCATTTTTTCTACATCTTTGGAGTGAATTTGGATACAACTGCTTTAGGGCACACTAGTTTTTTTAATAAGAGAACTGCTTTAGGGTACACTAGTTTGTGGTATATTTTTATTGGCAGTTGTTGATTTTTTGATCTTACAAGGACATCCAAAGTTTCAAAATCCTCAGCTGGAGCTTTAAAAAGCAATTCTTTGATTTTTCCTCGTTCAATCTCAGGCATGGAAAGCAAGGGTCGCAAAATTCTGTAAACTTTCTCTGGAGAGTCTACTGGCTTTGGTAAAGCAATGCCAGCACCATCTGTTTCTAGGCCTTCTGAAAATCAAATAAAAGCCATTGTGGAATACTGCTTGCCTTGAAAAGAAATAACTCTTCTCACCAGCAATATTACTCAGCTTTAACACAAACAAGGGTGGTCACTCACCCTACTCATAACATTAGTAAGCTTTATCAGAAGAAAGGGTAGTACCTCTTTCTACTAGTCACATTAGTAAGCTTTATCAGAAAAAGGGCAGTAACTCTTTCTACTCGTCTCATTAGTAAGCTTTATCAGAAGAAAGGGCAGTAACTCTTTCTACTAGTCACATTAGTAAGCTTTATCAGAAAAAGGGCAGTAACTCTTTCTACTAGTCTCATTAGTCAGCTTTATCAGAAGAAAGGGCAGTAACTCTTTCTACTAGTCACATTAGTAAGCTTTATCAGAAAAAGGGCAGTAACTCTTTCTACTAGTCACATTAGTAAGCTTTATCAGAAGAAAGGGCAGAAAATCTTCCTACTATTAACATCAGTAAGCTTTATCAATGGTAGTAACTTGAATCTTGGGTAACAATCATTGTTAAAACAATTCCTAGCCATTAGACAACAGCCTACCTGTATTTCCAGAATCAATAGTACTTGCTGGCTGAAGAGGACGGCCTACAATGTCATCGCTGTCAATAAATCCACCTGAAATATCACTGTTTATACAAGGAACTATCTCCCCACCAAACTTGTCGACCTGTAGCTCCCATACTTTATAGGATATAGGCTGGTTCTTTATGAGTCCTATATCACGAACAATATCATCATCTAGTGTCCCAGAGACATTGCCAGCAATGCTTTCATTAACCTGTAACACACAATAGACTGTATCACTGATATGATGTACCCAGGATAACAATATACTGTATCACTGGGGCGATGTAACCATGGTAACAAATACTGTATTACTGCTGTAATGTAACCAGGTTAACAACATACTGTATCACTGCTGTCCTGTAACCAGGTTAACAATATACTGTATCACTGCTGTACTGTTACCTGGGTAACAACATACTGTATCACTGCTATACTGTAACCAGGTTAACAATATACTGTATCACTGCTGTACTGTAACCAGGTTAACAACATACTCTTTCACTGCTGTCCTGTAACCAGGTTAACAACATACTGTATCACTGCTGTACTCTAACCAGGTTAACAACATACTGTATCACTGCTGTACTGTTACCTGGGTAACAACATACTGTATCACTGCTGTACTGTAACCAGGCTAACAATATACTGTATCACTGCTGTACTGTTACCTGGGTAACAACATACTGTATCACTGCTGTCCTGTAACCAGGTTAACAACATACTGTATCACTGCTGTACTGTAACCAGGTTAACAATATACTGTATCACTGCTGTACTGTTACCTGGGTAACAACATACTGTATCACTGCTGTCCTGTAACCAGGTTAACAATATACTGTATCACTGCTGTACTGTTACCTGGGTAACAACATACTGTATCACTGCTGTACTGTAACCAGGTTAACAATATACAGTATCACTGCTGTCCTGTAACCAGGTTAACAACATACTGTATCACTGCTATACTGTAACCAGGTTAACAATATACTGTATCACTGCTGTACTGTTACCTGGGTAACAACATACTGTATCACTGCTGTACTGTTACCTGGGTAACAACATACTGTATCACTGCTGTCCTGTAACCAGGTTAACAACATACTGCATCACTGCTGTACTGTTACCTGGGTAACAACATACTGTATCACTGCTGTCCTGTAACCAGGTTAACAACATACTGTATCACTGCTGTACTGTAACCAGGTTAACAATATACTGTATCACTGCTGTACTGTTACCTGGGTAACAACATACTGTATCACTGCTGTCCTGTAACCAGGTAAACAACATACTGTATCACTGCTGTCCTGTAACCAGGTTAACAATATACTGTATCACTGCTGTACTGTAACCAGGTTAACAATATACTGTATCACTGCTGTACTGTAACCAGGTTAACAATATACTGTATCACTGCTGTACTGTAACCAGGTCAACAATATACTGTAACACTGCTGTAACATATCCAAGATAAAGTGATACAATATATCACTACTGCCTTGTAACCAGAGTATTATACCAACATACACATCAGTGAAATATCTTTGAAATTTATAACAAGTGAGAGTATGTTACACTTATCTTGAGGAGAGAAATTTAATCAGGCTTTCAGTGAAAGTATTAATCTACATGATATCTCTTTGAAAATTAACCTGTTATCAACATACCGGATTATGGGCACTGGCATTACCGCTGATATCAAATTTATCTGTTCTTCTGACTTCTGCATCCTGAGCCAATTTGATGATACTCTGGACCACACATAAAACACTGTTTTTGTTCCGTCGGATTTGCTCTATCAGGACGTGGGACAAGTTTATTCTCCTGTTTTACAAAAATTAATTAAATTCATTTTTTCTTCTTGTCATCCTTTTTGATATACTGCAAAGAAGAGCTTAAAAAAATTGACCACTCATGTGCATTACCTAAATAAATTATTTAACAGTATCATAAAACACCTTACTGCTGATTGAGTCACAAGTATGCACCCTTTTATTATTTATCAAATAGCAGATTTAAAACTTAAAATCTAATTTCCTGAGTACATCATTTGTATGTTTAAGTCTGAAAACAATCTGTAGTCCATCCTTGATATACAGTCAGTTTAACTCACCTTTTTATAAGTTCTCTTTCAAGACTAGAAGAATCTAGCTTAACAAGATTAAGCTGACCTAAGTTTGCCTCAATGTTGACGGTGTCTGATGTTGATAATGATACATCACCGAGCTCATCCAGTATAGCCAGTCCAAATTTGCCACCGAGGGACAACTTAATAGTTCTATGCCACTTACAGAAGGCTTCCTGCGATATTTCATCAACACGCATAGGTGTGTGTGGATTCAAAAGTACATCACTTAGCTGTGGATAAACAAATACCATTCATAACAATTCAACCAAAACCGATGTTTTGAATAAAATCTATGTAGTTCCATGCAGGGTAATAAAGCTTTGATTCAATTACATGACATGTTACGATTTTGATTATCAATATCACATTTTGTAAATAAATACTGAACCAAACAGATCTTACCACCCACTATTGTTTGATCTTTATTTCATTTGTTCTTTAAAAGTTGGATCTTTTCCTTCTTTCCTATTCTTTCCTCTATTTTCACTGTTATATAAAATTCCTTTAGGAAATAATGATAATTATCTTTAACAACCAAATCCAAGATGGCCACCTGCCAGCAATTTTTGATTTTCTAATCAGTTACAAAATCAAAAGGACACAATAACAGACCAAGAAGAATCTATTTATGAAATTTCAAAGAGATCCTTCCAATATTTGTCAAAAAATAGTGATGATAATCTTTTCATTAAAATTGTAAAAATCCAAGATGGCCACCTGTTAGCCATTTTGCTCTTTCCAATCAGTTCAAAATCATACTGGAACAAGAGGCCCAATTGGCCTGCATCACTCAACTAGTGTATTCAATGTTCATCGACAACAGAATTGGTGTTAATATCACAAATATATCGACATGTACACCATTGGCATTCAAAATGAGTACATCCAATCAATTCTATTTGATTTCCAAAACAGAGAGCTTATATGATATTCAAAATTTGTTGGCCTTTGACCTAGAAACACCTTTCCACCAAACATCATGATTCTTGGACCTTTGGTTTACCAGCTAGAAGAAATCTTTTACAGATTTCAAAAAAATTGTATCCCTGTGACCTTCAATATGGTTCAAGGCCATTTCTTTTTGCAAACATTGTCAACCATCTTTCTAGGAACATATCAACCAAATACCATGTTTCTGTGCCTTTTGGTTAGTCAGATGAAGTTATCATAAGATTTTAACTAGTTTGACAACTGTGACCTTGAATAAGGGTGAAATCTGAGAGAGCCGTCAGATATGGTTTATGCTCCCCAATTGGTACAAAATTAAACTATGAAAAATAACAAAGGGCAATAAGAGTTATAATTTTTGTTCACTGCCTTCCTACTCATGGAGACCTATCTACCTGAGACCTTTCATGTTAATACCCCTTATAATTTTAGAGTAATGCTCCACACAAAATTTAACAATGAAAAATTGCAAAGGGCAATAACTCCTAAATTATGCAAAAAGAAAGTGATGGCTCTTGTGCACTGCACTTCTCCTTGCTGTGATCTATGAAGTTTTATGTTGGTTTCTCTTATAATTTTTGTGTTATATTACGGACAAAAGTATGACTGATAACAAATGGGCAAAGCGGCGACTATATGCTCTCCCTTCTGGGTGCATAAAAATTGTTAACAGATGGATGGACAGACAGGCTGAGGGAGGATGGACAAAAAACCATGGTTATAAAGGACAATTTGAATAGCCTACCAACTGATGATAGTGGGCTAAAAAGCCTAGTAAACACATCTAACAAAAATGATACATATTATAATGCCGTACTAAAACAGGAAACTTTGGTAGCATGTCTATAGATTTAATATCATATCTGTGAACTAAGCATTACAATAAAATGGTTCTCGATCACTCTCAGTATTACACCACATTATCTATATACCGTAAGTAAACAACTACCACAGAATGATGTGTTACCTATTGAGTCAAATATTTTATCATCGTGAACAAATTAAAACACTAAAATTGATTGTTACAATATGTGAACTAATCAGTTTAACTCACACAGAAAGGAACAATAAGTCACTGAAACAGGAAGTATTTTACTGAATCATGAATTTACCTCAAAGTTGTATGGCTTGTAAGTCACTTTGTTCCAGAAAATGAAGTGGCGTTTTTTGCGTTTGACTACAATTTGAAGAAGTTTCAGATCATGAGCACTGGCAATAGAGCTCACTGGGACGTAGGCATCATCACTAGATACACCTTTGGTAAACTTTTCAGCTATCGCTTGAAACATTGTTTTACCTGAAAGTTAAGAAGGAGAAATACTTTAAAATAAGGAAATTTCAGTTTAAGTTTAAGAAAGATTTGATGACCAGAAAGTTTGGTGTCTATCATAAGCTTTTTAGTATAATTTTCAAGGAAATTGTTAACAAAAACATCAAGAAAATACCAACATGACATGACCTAGTACATGTAACACTTTCCTCCCTTAAACTGAGGTCACATGACCAAGTACATGTAGTAATCTCCTCCCTAAAACTGAGGTCACATGACCAAGTACATGTAGTAATCTCCTCCCTAAAACTGTGGTCACATGACCTTGTACATGTAGTAATCTCCTCCCTAAAACTGTGGTCACATGACCTTGTAAATGTAGTAATCCCCTCCCTAAAACTGTGGTTACATGACCTAGTACATGAAGTAATCTTTTCCCTATAACTAGATAAAACTAAATGAAATATTTCCTTATAGGGACATTTGTATATGTATGAATAAACAGTATTGTAGGAAGAAAGATTTTACTACAAATTACATGAGTCAAGTATTTCCTTGAAAGCAAAGATCTTACAGTACAGCATGCTTTTGATGCGGGAGTTTGCATTTGTTCAAAACTTCATGGCTCAAAGCAGTGCATTGATCAACATTGTTTTGGTAAACTATTACTTTGAAACAACATGCATTATGATTGTCCAACTGGTATGATTAACGCCTGGTTTTATAGTTTTATAATGGGAAGGAAAACTTCCTCTCTGGTGGCGATCAAAATGCTCTTTCAAGGGATTGTCCTTCTAATGAGTTAAATAGTTAAAACAGAGGTTACCCATACATGAGCTCAATTTTAGGGAGGACAGTGTTACGTGACCTAGTACATGTAGTAATCTCCTCCCTAAAACTGTGGTCAAATGACCTTGTACATGTAGTAATTTCCTCCCTAAAACTGTGGTCACATGACCTAGTAAATGTAGTAATCTCCTCCCTAAGACTGAGGTCACATGACCTAGTACATGTAACACTCTCCTCCCTAAAACTGTGGCCACATGATCTTGTACATGTAACACTCTCCTCCCTAAAACTGTGGTCACATGATCTTGTACATGTAACACTCTCCTCCCTAAAACTGTGGTCACATGACCTAGTACATGTAACACTCTCCTCCCTAAAACTGTGGTCACATGATCTTGTACATGTAACACTCTCCTCCCTAAAACTGTGGGTCTTGTACATGATCTTGTACATGTAACACTCTCCTCCCTAAAACTGTGGTCACATGATCTTGTACATGTAACACTCTCCTCCCTAAAACTGTGGCCACATGACCAAGTACATATAACACTCTCCTCCCTAACACTGAGGTCACATGATCTTGTACATGTAACACTCTCCTCCCTAAAACTGTGGTCACATGATCTTGTACATGTAACACTCTCCTCCCTAAAACTGTGGTCACATGATCTTGTACATGTAACACTCTCCTCCCTAAAACTGTGGTCACATGATCTTGTACATGTTACACTCTCCTCCCTACAACTGTGGCCACACATGACCTAGTACATGTAACACTCTCCTCCCTAACACTGAGGTCACATGATCTTGTACATGTAGTAATCTCCTCCCTAAGACTGAGGTCACATGACCTAGCACATGTAACACTCTCCTCCCTAACACTGTGGCCACATGATCTTGTACATGTAACACTCTCCTCCCTAACACTGAGGTCACATGACCTAGCACATGTAACACTCTCCTCCCTAAAACTGTGGCCACATGACCTAGTACATGTAACACTCTCCTCCCTAAAACTGTGGTCACATGATCTTGTACATGTAACACTCTCCTCCCTAAAACTGTGGTCACATGATCTTGTACATGTAACACTCTCCTCCCTAAAACTGTGGCCACACATGACCTAGTACATGTAACACTCTCCTCCCTAAAACTGTGGTCACATGATCTTGTACATGTAACACTCTCCTCCCTAAAACTGTGGTCACATGATCTTGTACATGTAACACTCTCCTCCCTAAAACTGTGGTCACATGACCTAGCACATGTAACACTCTCCTCCCTAAAACTGTGGCCACATGACCTAGTACATGTAACACTCTCCTCCCTAAAACTGTGGTCACATGATCTTGTACATGTAACACTCTCCTCCCTAAAACTGTGGTCACATGATCTTGTACATGTAACACTCTCCTCCCTAAAACTGTGGTCACATGACCTAGCACATGTAACACTCTCCTCCCTAAAACTGTGGTCACATGACCTAGTACATGTAACACTCTCCTCCCTAAAACTGTGGCCACATGACCTAGTACATGCAACACTCTCCTCCCTAAAACTGTGGTCACATGATCTTGTACATGTAACACTCTCCTCCCTAAAACTGTGGTCACATGATCTTGTACATGTAACACTCTCCTCCCTAAAACTGTGGCCACACATGACCTAGTACATGTAACACTCTCCTCCCTAAAACTGTGGCCACACATGACCTAGTACATGTAACACTCTCCTCCCTAAAACTGTGGCCACATGACCTAGTACATGCAACACTCTCCTCCCTAAAACTGTGGTCACATGACCTTGTACATGTAGTAATCTCCTCCCTAAAACTGTGGTCACATGACCTAGTACATGTAACACTCTCCTCCCTAAAACTGTGGTCACATGACCTAGTACATGCAACACTCTCCTCCCTAAAACTGTGGCCACATGACCTAGTACATGTAACACTCTCCTCCCTAACACCAGACTTGAAACTAATTTTATACTGTCATCTCTAATAAAATTTTTCCCTTTGCCTGTGTATATTTTAAAACAAATAACACAATTTTAACAATCAAGAAAAACAAATGGTATCTTCCTGGTCAAATAAATGTAAATCTAACTCTGAAATAAACCTTCATTAACTAAAGGTCTTGTGATCAGATTCAGTCATCTCAATAGATGATCAAAAACGACACGGACATGAAAAAAAGTTAATAGAACATTAGAACATTTTGAACCTTAAAGCTACAAAATACAACTCTACCTATGTGATATGTTTGCCTGGCTCCTATAAACAGCAGCTGTCAAACATTTTGATGGACATTTGTGGACCAAACATCTGTACATTAGAATAACAAATGTCTCAGTACTGGATGATATAGAAGCCAGGTGAAACTCATGATGATTGTGCAGCTATTCTGTAATGAGGGGATGTCAAAAATACCTTGCCAATACTTAGCTAAAATGATCAACCTCTAGCTTTTTAAATACTTGTATCTTACAACTGCTTATTTCAAAACTTAGCATTGTGGTAGAGGTGACAACTGGTTTGCCCATTGTCAGTATGAGTTGACCAGTGCAGATGTCCTGTTGGTTGCCCTCAGAAGAATACTTTATACTTCAGTGCAGTAGCACTGTTAGAATAAGTTTTTCCCTATCATTCACGAGTCTTACATGGATATTTATTTCCCTTTTTAGTCCAAAAGGTCCTGACTATCTTTTCAGGATTTTATTTTTGTCTTGATTAATTTTGCATTTTAACAAACCAAAAAATATTGGGCTGCATTCAAGCAATGTTTTATATCAGGGCTCTCGATCTGCCTGATTCCCAATGCAAAATTTCCCAATTTAGACCCCAAGTTTTCCCAATTCCAAGGAAAACACCATTATTTTTCCCAATTCAACGGGCCCCGGGCCCCAGTCCCAAAGTAGGGTGTTAGAGCCCTGCATATAGTTTACAAAAGAGCCATAGGTTCATGACTCATTCATTGATAGAAAAAATCAAACATGCTTCTGTAATAAGCAGTAATGAAAAATACACTGCCACCAAAGGGGTTCAAACTAGCAACCATTTAGTCTCTAGCTGGACACTGTATCACTTGACTGAAGGGAAATTCCTACAAGCATGTATGCTCAACTTTTACACCACTTTATCATTATGGTACTTTGACCCCAGTTCTTTTCCACATGTTTCACAATACCATGTGGTACACCAGGTTCAATATCTGCAAGGAAGCATCTCATTCTCCTACATGTATGGAAAATACACTGTCACAACTGGAGCTGGATCATTTAGTCTCTAGCTGGATGCTCCATGACTTGACTAAATGTAAATTTTCACTAGCTGATGGTAGTAAAGTGACCTGTACTCTCTACTTCTACACTTCTACTAACTTGCATATGTGTAAAAACAATAAAACTTTGTGAACAAAGTATTTTCACTCATTTTTCCTTACAAATTTATTTTCAAGTTTATTTGCAATGCTTGTGACCAAAACAGAAGTAGAATTGTGGACATATATCTAATCAGAACCATTGAGACAAACCACACCCTCGAATAAAAAGATCTACTCTTACAGAATGGTCCTCATGAATCTTGCAATATATTCCCATTTTTACATAAATTTTAATTTTACTCTTGAATTTCCCCAATTTCAACAGAAATGATATTTTCTTGTATTTAGACGCAAAAGTTAATTATATATCATAGAATGAAAATGGAAATTCAGAGGTCTTTGTATATCAGAGCTGGGAAACTGTTGTGCTATCATCAGTATCGATCGTACTTACTCCTTACGAGTCAGGTACTGGTGAAGATCGGAACAATTCACACGGTCACATATGCATGCTGCTTGCAAAGGCATGCTATTTTGGTCAGCAGATCTTTGTAAGTGTGGCTTAGTAGTTTTGATTCGTGCATTATATACGATTGGCAATTACTTCCTGAATAGTTTTATTTCTTCCTCTTTGTATGTTATATTTTCCCTGATGAAATGAAACCGGAAGTTCAGATAGGAAACAGGAAGGCAAGTATTTTTCGGTCGAACTTCATTTTGGAACAGTTGAATATTGTCATCCGTGTGAGAATACACATAATTTTACGGTAAAATATGCACAATTATATCCTCTTTTTTTCAATGGGGGGTTTTAACCGACAAAAATCAAGTACCGACTTTTCAAACTCACCCATCCTAGTTAGGTCAACACGCATGTGCAAGGGAAATGATTTGATTTTCAGAAACCGAAAGTAC